AACTTTGGTACGTAACCTTTCCACCGTGGAGTCGAATATAGATGTCTCTAACCATGATTTCTATAGGACCCAATGCTACAACATACATCATCCCCGCTGAAATCTTCCCCACCCGTTACCGTGCCACCTGTCACGGACTTAGCGCCGGCGCTGGTAAGATCGGTTCTATAGTGGTGCAGGTATTTTCAGCCTACTACAACTTCGGCGGCGGTTTCGGGGAAGAGCCGGTAAAGCGTCACGGCTACGTTTTGATTGTCTTTGCCGTATGCATGCTCTTTGGGGCGATGGTCACATGCTGGATACCTCCAATCCAGAGAAAGCCGGATGGATCTGGAAGAGGTAAATTGTGGGGTGGCAAGACGGAGACGCTGGAGACTCTGGCACTTGGTCGACTCGGCGTGGATAGTCGATACGCGAATCAAGGCAGACGGAGAAGGAGGGGTGTTGTTACATGATGTGACAACTCCATCACGGTGGCGGTTTCAACTATTCTGGGTATATAATCACGGGTACATATAAGGGTACTTTAATTTCGCTGTATATATTTGCCAGTGGTCGGGTTAATAAACTGTTATTCCCCGGTTGCTTATTTGCTCGCAGCAATGCTGTACATACAAGAGAAGAATCAGAAGATACGAAAATGGTATGCTGATGATAACGGTGCACCTTTTAGGGTGACACTATAGTGAGATAATGAGCTAGAACATGGAGGCCAAACAATAAGTAGGTAAATATATACGTTAAATTTGAAAAAAAAAAAAAAAAAAAAAAAAAAGAAAAAAGAAAAAGATGAGTAGATTCGAAAACCAAATAATTGATAGGTAAAAGAAAAACCAGAATCTCTACCGAGAGAAAAAATGTGTGCATCATCCGTGAATCGAACACGGGCCTCATCGATGGCAACGATGAATTCTACCACTAGACCAATGATGCTAGTCGATGTTAAATTTATTCTTTATTATTAATATAGCCTTCCTCAAAATATTACGCTAAGCAAACTTTCGATTATGTCCGCCTATGCGGGCAAGTCCACTCACTTATGATCATCACGTAGACTACAATCTAAATGGTCGGAAAACCGAATCTTAGAACTATTGGATCTCATTATCTTGTACCTATAGTTTCTGTCTGAAAGCGAGTTTTGTGCTTGTACTTATTCGCCAATGGTTTCACTGTTGGGTTGCTTTTTCTCGTACTAATAAATTATTGGCTCTGATCTGGTAGGACTGAATATATATAAATTATATTGTAGAACCGCATCGGTACTTTCGAGTTGCTGAATGGTTAATCCCAAATACGTAGTAACAATTGAATCGCTCACAGTACTCTGATCAACCTTGCGACCATCTTTATCATCATCCAACTAGTACCACCGTCTTTAGTACCTACCTAAAGCTGCCGACATCTCATCAGTTAGCTCATCCCCTGCCACACCGCACCACAGTCCGGCCACAAATATCTGGTTCCAACCCCGCTCCCACCCAACCCACTTGTATCTCTACCTACGGAGTACCATTTGTCGCGATGGGTCGATCGGCATCGGCTCCTGCCCCACCACCACGTAGAATGGTTCACGCTAGAAGTATTGAAACCCACGATGATGATAGATAATCCCGCACCTCTCGATGAGAGCCCCCCACAGTGGATAGTACGTGGTAAGCGTCCTGTCTTTTGAAGGAATTTTGATTGGTCGGGTGTCTCGTGCCACGCAGGCTATCATAATCCGACCGACAGATGTTCGAGTCAGCGGGGTTGGGATCGTTGATGCCGATTTTGTGACCGCGTACAGGTGGCTAGGATGTCGTGGGTCGGGGTTGTGGTAGGGATGGGGAATTCCCCACTGAGGATACTAGGAGATCTACTCCGTAGCCTAAAAAGGTAGATGGGTGTTTTGAGTGCTTATGATCTGCAGTGGCTAGCTGAATGGGCTATTCAAGAATCCACGTAGGTCGATAGGAGGTCCGGTTGTCGGTTGTGGATGGCGAGATGGCGTGTGATTGTCCGCGAGCTGGGCGCTGAAAGGTGAAACTTTGATCAATGGCAAGATCGCACCCAATTCCGATAGCGGCCGGGCTCACACTGCAGTCTGCACGGATACTGTACTGGTAAACATGATGGAGGCAGCTGTGGGTCGCATGCAAGGGTGGTTGGTGTGACGGATTCATATTGGAAGAGGTAATATCCGTCGGTTCCTTCGGGTAGTTGAATGAAGGAGAAGCTTGACTGACAAAATGAGCCAGTGTAGCAGATATTGTGTCTTACCTGCCATCTGATAGATAGCCTCCGAAGTCGCTCAGCCGGGTTCCTGGACGATGTGTGGAACCCGCACTACCCGTCTGGTTCGGATCCAGAATCGATTTGAATATACCGACCCAGCGAGATAATGACCCATTGCCAATCCCATGGGAATGGAATCTGGTAAGTAGCACGGTTGAAGCAAGGTGAGATCAACGGTGGAACCTCAGGAAGAAGGGGAAGGTGGGATTCCCTGCGGGGTCACGCTCCCGGCTGGGTTCCTTCCCTTTGTTGCAATCAATCATCTTCCCCTCTTTCTACATCTATCCGGATTCAGAGCAGGATGTAACCACTCACTATTCTGCACACTTCGTGCACAATTGGTACGGTTCACCGCAGTATAATTGAGAATTATGCTGCCATCTCACTCGTCGAGGTCTGCGATGGAGGTCTGCAGAATCTAGACCTGCCAGACTGCGGGGTGTCTAACCAACCGAGCCGATAGGCTAGCTTAGCGCCGCCACGACCCGTCGGACCCCCAGCACACCCCGAGCTAGCAGGAGAACTAGAACTACCAATGCCGACCGGAACGAGCTGAAGAATGGGCTTGCAGATACGAATCTGACTAACCACATTAACCCGGTGAGTTGTCATGGCTGCTGCAGTGCTCAGCTGTGGCATTGAAGAAGCGGGGTTGGTACTACCCCCGCTGATTTAATCCTGGCCTCTTTTCTTCCCCTCTTTGACCCGCCCAGAGATATACCACCCCTGCTCTACTCTCAGCTCAGTGTTCCTTCATCATAGGCACAATGCCTTCCGAAGACGTAACGACCGGCTCGGTCAATGTTCCCGTCGGCACATTTCCCCAGACATGTTCGTCGACCGATGTCAATGCCGACCAGGTCGCTTCGCAGTTAGTCGAGAAGATCAACACAGCTCTTAGCAAAGGAGATGTGCAGTCCTTTTCCGACCTGTTTCTGGAAGATGCCTACTGGCGGGATCACCTCTGCTTGACATGGGACTTTTACACCGCGAAAGGCAAAGAGAACATTTACAGCTTGCTCAAATCCGGCCGTCTCCCAAGCAAAATCGAGATCGACCGCTCGACCGCATTCCGAGGCCCCTACGTTGGCCCTATCGATGCCTTCGGCGACGTCACAGGTATCCTCTTTTACATTACGCTCACCAGCCCCCTGCTCCATGGACACGGTATCGTTCGGCTGGCAGAAAAGGATGGCGAGTGGAAGATTTTCACCTTCTTCACCTCCATGGAGGGTTTTGTCGACCACCCAGAAGCCGTGAACTTCAAGAGACCCATGGGAGCACAACATGGCGAAAGCTTGGATCGAAAGAACTGGAAGGACCGTCGGACGGCCGAAATCGAAGCTAAGGACCGGTCTCCAACTGTTGTGGTCGTCGGTATGCTCCTCACCTACCAACCTGTTACTATCTGATGTGCTGACCCGACCAGGTGCTGGCCAATCTGGTCTCATCATTGCGGCCCGCCTTAAGATGCTGGGTATCGATGTTCTGATCATCGACCGAGAGGAAATCATTGGGGACAACTGGCGCCAACGCTACCACCAGCTGATCCTGCATGACCCTGTCTGGTTTGACCACTTTCCCTACATCCCGTTCCCGCCGAATTGGCCGATCTTCACACCCAAGGACAAGATAGCCGAGTGGTTTGAGTGCTATGCTAAGCTGCTAGAGCTGAATGTATGGACCAAGACCGACATCAAGGGGTCCTCATGGGACAACAACGGAAAACAATGGACTCTTGATTTGCAGCGGCGGAAGGAGGACGGGACGGTGGAGAACCGTACCCTGAACCCCCGGTATATCGTCCAAGCCACTGGCCATTCTGGAAAGAAGAATGTGCCTGACTTCAAGGGCATGGATTCCTTCCAGGGCGACCTCATCTGCCATAGCAGCGAGTTCCGCGGTGCCAAGCCCGAGTCGAAGGGTAAAAAGGCTGTCGTGGTTGGGGCGTGCAATTCCGCCAACGATATTGCACAAGATTACTATGAGAATGGATATGACGTGACGATGGTGCAGCGCAGTTCAACCTGCGTGATTTCCTCGGAGTCGATTGTGGAGATCGGCCTCAAGGGCTTGTACGAGGAAGCAGGACCCGGGACCGAGGAAGCCGACCTTTACCTTTGGAGTATTCCGGCAGAGCTGTTCAAGGCCCAGCAGATCAAGGTCACCAAGCGTCAGAACGAGAACGACCGGGCGACTTTGGAGGGGCTGGCGCGGGCCGGGTTCAAGGTAGACCGCGGTCCAGACGGTGCGGGTCTGCTCGTCAAATACCTCCAACGTGGTGGAGGCTACTACATCGACGTCGGGGCCAGCCAATTGATCGTTGACGGCAAGGTGAAGGTGAAACAGGGCCAGGAGATTACCGAGGTCCTCCCTCACGGACTCCGGTTCGCGGACGGATCGGAGCTCCCGGCGGACGAGATCATCTTGGCGACAGGGTATCAGAACATGGCCACCCAAGCACAGCTCGTGTTCGGAAAAGAGGGGGAGAAGGTGAAGGATGTCTGGGGATTCGACGAGACGGGCGAAATGCGCATGTGGCGGCGGACCGGACACCCAGGCCTGTGGTTCATGGGCGGCAATCTGGCCGTCTGTCGGTATTACTCGCGGTTGCTGGCGCTACAGATCAAGGCACTAGAAATTGGCGTCACTTCCTACGACGGTTAGAGAGACTTGGCGGTAGGGCGAAGACAAAGGAAATCGGTATGAAGCAAGATATAATTGGTAATATAAGTTGAGCAGCTGCAATAAATGTCGCAACTCAACAATCTATTGAAAATGAAAATTCCCAGGTATCACAAAAATACCCATAATAGACCCGCTATGCAAGAAAAGAAAAACATGCAATCTCCAAGTGAAAGTAATGAAAACCATCGGAGCGGAGAATTCTGTAAATCCCGTGTTCCCCAAGAAAAATAAAAAATGGTCCAGCCAAGCCGGACGGACATCCCCACCCAACACCTCCGACGAACTGAACAACAGATACCCCCTGAACCCAATACCTCCGTAGACAATGGAATGATGGTATGTAGGTAGGTAGTATTACAACCACCCCTCCATCCACGCAACATAAACCCCCAACGTCAATACCAACGTAATAACCTCCTCCTCCCCCCCAGGAGCTAATATCCCCACCTCCTCCAAAAACCGCACTTGTTTCGCATCCCACACGCCAACCCTCAGCCCCTTTTTCTCTAGTCCAGCCAGCCCCGACCGTCTGACACGCTGATCGGTGCCAGCTGCTCTTTCCCCTCCGATGGCACTAACGCAAAGCACAAACCGGGGATTAGCATTTGCATTCGCATTGGCATCGGAAGAACTAGTAGTGGAGTCTCCTTCCTCCTCGCAAGGGTTTCCTGTTGTTGTTGTTACTGTATCGGAGTCCGTTGATCCCGACACCGCCGACCCCGACGCGGTTCTTGGCCGGGTCTGGGATTGGGTTTTCCGCCGCCATTCGATGATGACGGTTTCGCCCGAGGGGGTTTTCTTCTCGCGTAGGATGAAGCGGTAGTTGCCTCGTGGGGTGCGCGTTGCGGAGTAGGTTTGGTGTGTGGTTGGGAGGTAGATTTCGTCTTCTTCTGTTGTGGTAGTAGTATTTGTTGTTGGTGGGGTCGTGGTGGTGGTGGGTTTCTTGGGGTTGGGGTTTGTGTTGTGGTTGTGGTTGTTGTAGATTACGCCTGCGGCGATGGGGTAGGCAGTACTACTAGTAGGTTCTGATGATGGTGGTTTTGGTGTTGAGGTGATGTCGGTGTAAGCGTCGCTCTGCAGGATGTAGAGATCCCGGCCGTGGATCTTGCGCGGACAGTTGGGCAGGGATTTCCCTTGTCGTGGGGGTTGGTAGATTTCCAAGATGGGGAGGGCCCGGTGTCGGTTTGAGGTTATTGAGAGTTGTTGGATTTGGAGGAGGAGGCGCGGGGAGAGGCGGAGGCAGGGGGTGGATTTGGGAGGGGGGTGGGCGAGGGGGAAGGTGTGTTTGGGGGTTTTTGTTCTGTTTTTCATTCATTGTTAGAATTATGTATGGTGTTGATAATGTATGTGGTGGTGGTCTGGATGTACCTTGTTTGGCTGGAGATGGAGCTCTCTGCGTCGCTGTCTTGGGTGGACATTTTGTATTTTGTATACTACCAGTACTGGTGTAGAAGGAGTGAAGAATGTCAAGGATAGTATAGATAGTAAGTAGTGAAAAATGATTTGAATATCATCACTTCAATGAGAAAAGTCCGCATATTTATTACTCACACCCCATTCTCACCCAGCCATGTCGGTCTATTACTATCTCTGCATAGATCGTATTCGTTCCCATCGCACGGGGCGCCGATCCAGGCACGAACTTTCTACGTACCATCTTACAGGGTGCAGAGAGAGTGTGTATGAGGGTGTGACCAACTAACTAGTCTGGTTCAAACATTGCCTAAACCCACTCATCACACGAAATTATTTTCACCGTTCAAGCTTATTCTTTTTTTTATAGCCTTGGCGGGGCGGGGCCATGGACTGGGCTGAAGGGAAAAAAAAGGGAACGAAAAGGAACGGGAACCAAGATGCAAGTTGGAGTTAGACCAAAGATTCAGCTTGCCTTCGGGACATCTCATTTGTTGAGAATTTCCCCCGGTGGGGAAATTTCTTTGCGACTTCCGACGGTAGAAGATGAGGTGAAATGATTTCCGCAACGAATTGGGGTATCGGATACGGATACGATCGCTGCCGAGGTATTTGCGAATTTCCGATTAGTTGGTTATTATTCCTCTATAGTTAACTTGGTTATAGGATTGGATTGGCTGGTTAGATAAGCGGAGTTGGGTGCAATTTTCACCGGGTCACGGAGTCAACCACTCGCAACCCCCTTGTTCGGTCCTTTTCTCCTTCTCCGTCCTGTTCATGGGTGGTTGCAGATGTAGTAATGTTGTCGGTCGGGCAGCGTCCGAGCTAGACTGTCTTCCGTATTCGTTTTCTAGTTAGTTCCGGGGATGAGTCGTTTGGAAAGTCTTGGCCGAAAGCGAGAGAGGCGGTGTTAGAAAATCCCTGATGGTCCTCCGTGGCAAGGCTGTGGTATCCTGTCAGACTGTCAGATTCCTTTGTTTTGGGTTTGTAGGAGGATGATTGCATGGCTGGGAGGACCAGGTTCTGACAGTCAGCCTTGTGAGGCTTACAAAACGACCTGCGACCTACTTACTCTGTTGGGACTAGTCTGAACACAGTAAGATCCTGGAAGTTTCGGGCGCAACTTGGCTTGTATGGGAAGGATTCTCTGCTTATGCTGCGAGAGACTAGAAACGTGTTTGGTGATTACTATGGAGTAGATAGACACGTTGTTCTGATGATTTGATCGATATGGAGAAGTTGATTGATCTTGTTATGTGCTGCGGTTGGCGATGCTCTTTGACTACTAGTACCTTATGGTTGCTGACCTACAGAGCACTCGATCACTCTGGATCAGTTCTGCCCCCATCCATCTATCCTATTCACTCACTTCCTGGCCAAGGGTACTCCGTACCCCGTACAGATTGATCAGATAAACAGATATCAGAGACATCATTTCTCAATGGACCAATCATACACCCAGGCTGGTCGAGATGTTGAAGCATCGCGAAAATCCACTTCTACTCATCAAGACGCGTCGACGTGTTGAAATCTAATCTGATGGTATGTATGTGAATGTGAATGTAGTGTTTGTTGTGGTGTTTGGTTGACTTTGTAGTGTTTGGTGTTTAGTGCCAACAGTTGCCGAAGGGGGAAAGCACAGGGGAGATAGAAAGTGCGACCGAACGGATTGTTATATACTCCACTGTCCCTTTCTATACTGGACCCTCACAATAAGTACTAATATTGTACATTGTAGACTATAGTTTCTCTAACCAGGACTATTGGTCTGAGCTGCATCTACAAAATGATATGATGAACATCACGGACTCCAAAACCCACCCGACCGGTCCAAAACCCGCCAAAAGCCGAGCATCCACAGTGTTCAACCAGTTAACTTCTTTCCACTAACCACGCAAGGAAGAATGCGGGGCGAGAAACCAGCAATGGCCTGACTCGCTATTTATCCTGCATACTATTGTAGTAGTCATGTGCAAGCTGCAACCGCCATAACTAATCTACAAGTCTAGGCCCTGAAACAATTATTTAAGCTCACCGATGGCATCATGACTCCACATACTCAGTAGCATTCATATATAAGCCACATCACCCTCACCCATCCACTCTAAGCATTCCAGACCCAATCCATCTCACCACCTACATAGTACGATTACACTATGTACACAACAGACACCCTCCCAACAAGCTTCTGCATAGCCCAGGCAATCGGCCTCAGTGGCGCCGCTTGGCTCTCGGGTACTACTCCCTATTCATCCTGAACCTAAACTCTTGCTAACAATAAAATATCCAGGAAACATATTCTCTCTATCCCTAATGACAATCCCAGCTCTTCTCCAATCCCACAAAGAGCACAGGATCCCCTTATCAACAATAACCAAACAATGGGCCCTCGTCTATGAAACGGGCAAGAACCGCGCTCCCCCGATCGCTCTCTTCACCGCCACCACCCTCTTGTATTTGTCCTGGGAGACGAGAGCACAGAGCACATTGGCAGCAATTGCACCACGGGGAGCTACCACGACGTATGCGATCGCTGCTGCATTGACGATTGCCATTGTGCCGTGGACTATTCTGGCTATGAAGGGTACGAATGATGCTTTGATGGAGAAGGCCAAGGTGGGCGTACAGGAGGAGAAGGATTCTCAGGAGGGCGAGAGGGTGTTGGGGTTGTTGAACAGGTGGGCGTTGCTTAATGGTGCGAGGGCTATGTGGCCTCTCGCTGGGTTTTTGGTGGGTTTGTTGGCGGTTGTGCCTTGATCAGGAACCAGTTCCAAAGAAATGCGAGATTTGGGGATAGGTTTGGGATAGGAAAAATGGGCGTTAATGGTAATGTAGGATATTTTGTGAAATGAATTGATGTATAATATATGTATAGGTTCTGTCAATGGTGGCATAACAGTTTCAAGACAATTGTTTGGTAATACCGTCACTGAAGGATAGTATCATAATCCCGGGTGTGAATTATCGGCTCATCACTATTCTGGAAGCTACCGTAGCGGGTATCTAGTTATAATACTACCACTAGTATGATACCGAGCAATCTCCAGGGAATTTGCTCATGTCGGGTATTCACATGTATCCAACTTATTGCTGGAAACAATTGTCTGATATGGGAGCATATGCTTCCGACAAAGGAGGCATACGGTTTATATTCACGACTTCAAAAGACGCAGTCAATATATCATTCAAAATGTATCTCTAGGGCTTCACTGGAGCCAATATGCAATGGAGAATATTCCATGAGCTTCCATATTCCCAGTCAACTTCCGTAGCATAAATACTCATTATCCCCCCCCCCCCCCCCATTCAGACCTTCTTCTCTATCTCCATCTTCATACTTCGCCGTTTCCACCCACATACTCTTTTCAAATCTTCAAGAAAGAAAATTGCAACAATGAGCATACGAAAGCCGTCAGAGACAAACGCATATCGCATGCTCTAAGCATGCCTACATACCAGTATTACTCTATCCGAAGAATGGAGAAGGTGATATAGCCACCACACAGTGCCAAGCAAAATGCCTGGGACATCGACCAAGCTTCCAATCTCGCAATTGCAAGAGAACAAAAACCGTCTAGACAAATGAATGCATAAGGTGATGGGATGCTCATTCTGGCTCTGACCAGCTCCGAAATCGAGGAATCGAAGAAATGCTAGAGGCCTCAATAGAAAGGGCTAGTATTGATTGGCTACTCCTGCAAAAGAGCTTTGCCGAGGAAATTATGATGGCTTTTTGAATTCATATACTATTTATAACTCCATCCATGGCTTGCTGGACCTAGAAATGGTTGCTGCAACAAAACACGTGGGTATAGTGAGCCACTTCTGGTTCACAGTCAGTATATATACACTGATAGTATCGACTCCTCTACGGTACCTTGTTATGCAAAGCAGTGGATGCTATCCACGCCGGGTTCGAGATTATTTGAACACTTGAGAACACATGCGGGACAAGAAAAGATACTATCGACTCATGTGGGCTTTCTCCAACAAACGTTACCACTCCCATCACCTGTTTTGAAAACTACAGATTGAACACTACTTTATAATCATTGGGAGAAGGAGTGTATTTGTCAGAGTCAGGGGACATTTTCATCTCCGCAGAGACTCAAGATACTGGCAGAATTCTGACTGCTTGGTGCAAATGCGAGAAATCAATTCGTGCAAAATCTCGACAGTGGAAGGACAAAAAGGAGAAGAACTAGTACTCGATGCTCCAAACAACGGAGGATTGGGGCTCCAGACGAGTTGTGATAATAGTCCTTCTTCTTGACCCCTCCATATCAAGCGAGAGACGCAGCAGATAAGCTAAAGTGCATACGTGAAGGGAGGCATGTCCTTGCTTCTGCTGTGTCTGTCGATTTATCCGTTCGTGCACTATATGTCCTCAAGCCTCTAGCATTACGGGAGCTTTCGTAGTGGTTTGGGTAGCGCCACATCGTGGAAGAAATCCAAAGAGAAGCAGCCAAGAATGGGTTGAAAGCCATCTACATACTCTGAAATTTGAGATACCACGTCAGCAATTAATGTACGAATCTGGGGAATATTGAGGGTCCAAAGCTCCTCTTCAGTCTCATTGTCGTGACCGTCACTATTACTACTCCCCGAACACCTCAGCGAGCCCTCGGGGTCACAATTATATAGGCGAGCAGGATATCATTGATATTAGGTATATGCACTGACAGCTCTACTGAAATTCTGGGAGTCTCTACTCTTCAACAACTGGACTTTGATAAGGATATTATATAAGTCTCTGGTACTTTCTCTACACCTATCGGTGGAACCACGGCCAAGGCATACAGATTATATCGACATGCAGATAGTTATGAGCCCTAACCATGGGCTTCCGGGTCGTGGCACTTGATGAGTGGAAAAACAGCAGATAATAGATGAGCAGTCTATCATTTGGTGCATTAGCCCATCGCAGCAGATGTATATTGCAATGGCTTTACATCATGCACATATTGATTGCCACATCTATCATTCTGACCTGACAGCAAAAGAGCGACGGAAACTAGTTTGCAACTTCACTACCAACCCGGACAAATACATGGTCCTTATTTGCAGCTACTATGTCAATGCAGCTGGTTCTAATTTACAGTATCTCTGCCGGAACTCCCACCAGTTTGATACACCGACCTCCCAAGCCCTATCAGACCAGGGAAACGGACGCGTGCTTCGTGTAATGTGACTCATCACGGGATGGGAGGAGACAGTCAACCTTCGGCAGCCGCTTACTGAAACAGCTACTGTGCTGTCGAATGATTCGTGCGGTGTATCCAAAATAAGCTGAATCGCCTTGAAAAGCCCTACATCAGATTGTGGGGTATTCTTCCACTCGTGCGTTTGCCGTGGCTATGTGGAGAGGCCAATCTGCAGAGAAACAGGCAAAGAGAAATTGATGTTCGCAAAATGGGATTCCGACGAGGCAAATCTATCGGAATAGAAATCAAAGAGACAATGTGACGAGAATTGGAATTTGAACACGGCAACCATAGGATGGAAATCCTGACTCTCGAGGTTTATTAATTAAATCACTTATGCGGGCCGCACGGCTAATTCCACGGGTGTTAGCTGCACTAGGCGTGATCAGCACCACGATCTACTGCCTGTTGTGTTCTCACACTAGTTACTGATTTGATATAGCATCCAATTGGATGCCAACTGCCAGTGTATCCAGCATTCTCACATAAGAAAAATTGTAAGCAGAATGGACACATGATATAGTGGATGCACTTCTGATCTTACAATTCCCATCTGTGGATTGGAATGCGATCTAACAGACCCAAGGAATACTTCGCTACGCCCTGCTTTTTTCTAGAAAAAGGAAGTAACAACCGCACAGCCTCCGCGAGTGCCTCCGTGAACGTCGCTTGATGCAAGTATCGTGATTTATTCTGGGGAAATGCTATTGCAGTCATTGGCGACTCGTCAATTTATATAGCAGACTGCCAGATCAAAAACTGATACTGTCGAGAACCAGCGACTGCTTTACACGCGAGCTATCATCAATCATTATACTCTGCACCGGGACAGACGTTCACAATGTTGCCATGTTTGTGGCTGTCTTGCAAAGCCGTAAGCCCAAGCCCAAGCCCCAGCTCCAGTCCATGTCGTGTCTACCGGCATGATCAGTGACACAGGCGGCTGTTGGTGGCACAAACCATGCAAAAATTGTGGCAGCTTGTCCTAACCTCCGCTGGACTAGGTTTGCTGAAACTGGGTACGGTCAAATGTCTTTCAAGAGTACCATTGTGCCTTCAGTCGTTGGGGATGACTAGGAAATGTCATTGTTGATATGGAAACTCAAACCACAGTGGGCGGTACTACTTATACATATCAAAGTTTCAAGCAGGAAAAATTGGGAGATAGAGGTCCTCTTCAATTCTCTTCTTTTATGTTTCCTCTTGGTTATACCTCCCCCTTTCGTCATTCCTTGCTGGTCACTGCTTCTCTACCACAATGTTCCATCGTCCCGCGCCATATTTGTTGATGGCCGATCTTCGTGACCTCCTTCAGGACTACAGGCTGCCTCGTCAAGACCCCGGCCTCAAGGACTTTATCACTCGTCCACCTATGGTACTCAGGGAGCTCATCGAGCAGATTGATTACTTCATGCAGTCCAAGACTTGGTGTAGTGATTGGAGCTACATCTTGGAAGAACCAGAAATTTCCGAGGGGTATTTTCCATAGACAGCCAGGCGGTGGTTGCGGGCTTTGAATAAGGCTGGGAGCTTTTTCACTCTTCTTATAAAAAAACTCTTCTAATAAGAGTTGCCCACGGGGCTTTGTTCGGTTTTCTGTTTCGGTTTCGATGACTGCTGTTTTAGTTTTGTTATGGACCTACAGGCAATCCTGACAGCTAGTGCTATGAGAAGAGAAGAAAAATCGGCACCTTATAGTCTTAAAAACACGACGAAGAGGAACCGACTCTTTTCAGAGCACAGACAACAACACATTATCATCCTGATAATCTCTTGACCGTTCAAGTGGCTGTCCCATACCATTCCTGACGTTGAGAAAGACAAGCTCTTCTTAACATCATGGATAAAATGAAAGGGAGCATTTCTTACCTATGCAGCGTTGTCTAAGGGTGGCAAGCTAAGGCAAATATTCCCCTCGAATACCAATATCCGTTACAAAGTGGCCTTTCCAATCGATGTCGAGAATGAGATACTACTCCTTGTAGTATAGAGCTTCTTCGCTTTCAGCTGCATGCAATATGAGTACACGCCTATTGTCGGACTTTAGGCAAGGAATCAACATGCAAAACGCCCAGCATGTGTGCCCCCCAGGGTGAGAAAAGCTCGAATTGATGATTACTTTCTGTGGCGTAAGAGGGACTGTTGAAGGACTCACAGACTACATATTCTGCTATGAAGACGTCGAAAACGAGTCGAGTGATTTGGTGGCCCTGGAAGCTCAAAGGTATCTAAGGATTTTTGGACTAGCTCAAGTCGTGGCTTATATAGGTAAGTCTAAGGAATGAGAATGCGTTCCACGTTATCGTTTTTTGACCTGATTAGGCATTATACACAAGGCTAGGTATCGAGGAAAAAACAAAGACTAATTTCAAGGCTTTGGTATTTCTAGCGGCAGGTATCGACTTTCTTGTCCTTTGTGAGTCACAAGACTTGGAATAATAACATGTGCATCAAGGCGAACACGGCTGGGCTTCACACTACCCTTATGGCGGATACGAGATCGCTTTTAGGCTTCTGGGCTCGTTGATTTGTCGACAACCCTATTTTCCCGCTTTTTCGGACTTGAAGCATGCGGAAATATTCCTGGCCTGGGTGATACTTTGGACGAGCTCAATGGTGACATGGATAAATAGGGAAATAAGCAGAACGGTGCTTAGCCTATGATGTTAGACTCGTCAGCACCTTTAAGATACATTATAATATAGTAACGAATCATATGTCACACCTAGAGTGTATTTACCGATGAAATATCAGCTAAAAATCAGAATGGAGAATATGCGACCGTGACAGGTGTGTAACCATGGGTCCTTGTTCTAGGGAGCAATAATAGATAACCTATGTTCCTTCTCTCCTCCAAAACTAATATTATTTTAGCTATTAGATACAGGAGTAATATATGCGCTTCCCTACTCAAAACTACAAAGCAGCACTTGCTTCAAGTATCTGAAGTTCAACTGAGTCCATCCCCAATATCTCCATATCCTGTGGGTCAGTTATAGATAGAAATCATGGCATATGATTGGTCACATCACGTGGTGATCTACATTTTAGAGCAGTCGTCCTGCAACACCGTGCATTAGCGTGCTTTTTAGAGCCATCAACCTGCAACACTGTGCATTAGCGCTTCATTTAGAGCGACTGTCCTGCAACTGTGTGCATCAGTGTTTATTCTAGAGCAATCGCATTGCAACACCGTGCATGAGTTCCAGTTTTAGAACCATTCTGTATGCAGTCTTGTGTATGGGTGCAGCTTTTAGAGCCATCAACCTGCAACACCGTGCATTAGCGCATTCTCCAACATGGTCTGTGCTGAGGCTGACATGCATGTTTGTGCTACCCTATACAAGGTTTAATTGGCTACTAGGCCTATATTGCTATATTCATGCACAGTCCTGCATAAATTTTTGCTCCTTGAGTAACCACAATATGGCCTAGTATGCAGTGTTCGTGTGTGGAGTGGTTTGGATGTGATTGGTCTATCTGATCAAGCCACCTGCACGGGCGTGCATGATTACTATGGCATTGTTCTGCTGTAGCCGGCGGTCTGTGCGTAGCCAGGGATCCATTTCCTTGCTCTTTGTAGTCATGCTTCTGAGATGATAGATATGTGCTATATAATTTTAGCTTAAGTATTTTTCAGTACATACGACCACAGGGTGTGGAAAACAGGGCTTCCCGTCCGCTCAGCCGTACTTAAGCCACACGCCGGGAGGTTAGTAGTTGGGTGGGTGACCACCAGCGAATCCCTTCTGTTGTATGTTTTTGTATTTTTGACTGACTTTATTTCTCTTACAACCGTGATGTAATGCCGTGGGAATACCCCTAGCCGAAAAGCGTCTGGCAAAGATCTCGCCAAGTGGCGTCCATATGTCTCCTCGAACCCATTCAATCGCCCCTTCAACGCCTCCTGATCCTAGCAAAAATATTGCGATGAGCCATGGGTGATAGACTATTACGTCCTGTCAGGCTGCTTTGAGGGCCTGACTTCACCACGGAATAACATTACTACCCGACTACATTGTCGCCGTCCAACTCTACGGAGACAACGTCTCTGCAGAATGGGCCTCTAATCGATGGTATATTCACCGACCGGCCCACAATCAAACCTCTTTCTGCTTGAAACGGAACCGCAAGTCAACTATGTCTTTGCATCCGACGGATGATGGACTGTATTAGGGGCTATGCATGGTACAAGCGGGATTCAGTCTCCTTCATCTTCTCCATGGACCTGAAGTTACCACTTGAACTGGCAACAACAGATCTGCAAGCGGATAACTCGGCTCAATCGAAGACACAGTGCGGTTGAATGTGGTTTACCCCAAGGTCGGACCAGTATATTACCTTGTTCCAGATGACCTTCGTCCAAATAGACAAAACGATGGATAGATCTACCTTTAGCGGAGGCTATCTATACCATCGTATCCTTAGGAGAAGGGAAACCGAGCTCGGAATCTGGCGTGAGGAACCATTATCCGGTCAAGAAACGGGCAGCAATATCTCAGATGATGGGATTTACGAAAAGCCTTTGGATTCATGACTGCCAAAAGAGAGTATACTCACCCAGCATACTTGGCTACTTGATATGCACGACATCACGACACCCATCTCTTCCTCCGAGATCAATCTCTCCAATGCCCAAGTTCTGATATATTGTTGCGACGGAATGGCCATTTCATTCACCGTCCTGTACACGGTGGTACTCACACCCGTATATAAGCCAACTGACTCCACTTATCAGAGATACACTTATCTTTTCACGTCGCATACTTCTAGGCTATGAGCATTGGCCACCCGTAGCGCAATAAACCTGAGCTCTATACCTTGGTGGGATCCACTGTACGTCAGGATGACTTCACTCTGCGGGATATGGTTGGCCGGTATGCAGCGATCGGGTGTTATTCGCGTTACCACCGTGTTATGGCCTACGAGACCTACATCGCCTCAATATCAACCCCTCCTACACTATTCTGGGGCTGTAATCCTGACTATCCATCATGCAGACTTCCCAATGAAGCGTGAGCTGCAAAGGAGATCAAGAGCAGACATTTCGTTCATGTTGTGGCTGAGCCAGAGCGAAATAGGAGACACCTCCAGCGGATATGAGGCGAAGCTATCGCCTTTTGCTTCACATGTCGTAACAAAGCTCTGTTCGGGTTTAGATTGGGTGCTAGGCGTCCTGCATGTGTCCAAAGCGGTGGCATTCGGACACTCATGGTCTCGGGTGCGCCGACCCGAGAATCACCTGGCTACGCCTATCCGATGATACTAAACCTATGGGCAGTATCATGGATCAGATGTTCTACGACATGGTAGACCAATTTATCATAGGATGAGTCTACGACTTCTGAACTCAGCTGGAGATACTATAGAGAAGAAGTTTTCCACTAATACTACAGTACTAGTTCCCCTCGAGGATATATGATATGTTACTATGTACAATAATAATTATATATTTACCAAAGGATCTCTAAAACCCATTGAAAGAGTCTTGTAAAACCGACAATAAAACCTTCCCTAAATCACTTCTTCACAGAAGTACGTACTATAATTGAGTTATATTCTATATAGACTCAATTCCACCATAACCTTACCCAACGGCATATCCTCGAACCTAATAATAGAATGTTAAGCCACTGAACCAAAATCCCGCATAGTCCACTATCGATAGACATACCAGCCATGTTTCATTAACAGAGTTAGTAATAGTGCCCAAGGCTTAAAACATCTGACTTATCGCTACAGTACCATTCCAGCTATCCACCCCTACAGAAATGGTCACATAGTTCATTCAAACATAACACTACAAGTATGATAACCCAGAAAAACTTACCATTTGAGTTTCCTACTCAAATCAACAGACCGGAAATCTAGTGGGTAAACCAACTTTATTGCATCCACAACTAAACCTAATCTAATCTCCCTCTACCTTCATTGTCACGACAATCACCCCCTAAATCCAATCTCCCACCCCCACCCCCCACTTCCTCCTCTGTCGCGACAATCACAGTGCGCCATTCCGCATATATGCCCGATCATAAAGATCGCTTAGAAAATCGAGCCGGAGCCACCCTTGGACGCGCAGTAGTCGTTCTTGTTAAGACCACCATCCTTACACTTGACTCCACCACAGCTCTTCACCACCGTCAAGGTATGGTCATCGTTGCAATGGAAAAGAGTGCCCCACCACTGGCCGGGGAAGTTGATCGTCGCAGTACCATAGCCTGCCTTTCTATACGCATCCTTGATAGCAGAGTCCGCATCACCTAATTAAGCGGATCATCGGGTTAGTTCTCATTGCGCGAGTGGGATTAAACGCATTATTAAGGATAGTGGTAGTGGTACCTCTGTCTTGCAGGGTGGAAGCGCAGTAGTCGAAGCCGGGCTTGCAATCGGCGGTGGCACCGGCGGCGCACTCGGCGGCGGCGGCAGAGCTGGCGAAGGCCAAGGTGGCGGCGATGAGGGCAGTAAAACGCATGATGAATGGTTTGGTTGGGTTTGATTGGGTCACGAGGACTTGATTTAAGGATTTGGGAAGAATTGATTCGATTGAAGTGAAGCTTGATTGATGAGAACCACTGATGAATCTGATGAATGGATAGAGAGAAGTTCTGGCGACAGATGGAGGGGGTTTATATAGTATGCTGGGTGAGGGGTCGATTCGGTTTCCCCTCGTGTGATGGAGATGTGAACACGCCTTCTGCAATATTTGAATCACATTGCATAGTTGCTCGAACTAGGACCATGTCGTATCACCGATGCTGCATAGGGGTGGATCATGAGGTCGAAAACAATTACTAGTTCATGCACTTGCTTCTCCTGACTGAATTGCCTTCCCTACTCGACACTCGAGTCTTTCATATTCACAATTACCCTAATAGGTTTCCAGATGCACTCCTGCCCAAGTGGAATGATACTATAACCACCGAATCAGAAACGTATCTGCATAGAGGTCCTCAGAGGGAGGTGTGTCAATGCTCAACATACTCCGTAGATATTTTGACTGTGATGAGTCTGCATAAGTTTCTCTGCACAATGTTAAAGTGAGAAATTTATGTTTAGTAAAGTGATAGTTGGGGTTTGATCGGGTTAAGATCAGCATTTCTGAACGATGGTTTGTTGATCGGCCCACTTAATCTCTGATAATTTAGGTCATTGTGTTTCACAAGTCATAACGAGATGAGATTCCTCCATTAACTGGATAAAGGAAAAATAGTACTGAGGCAATAGCTATTTCTTCCACACACACCTCACTCCGCCGTTCTTAGATAGTAATATAACATATATATATATTTCTCTCTGCCGCTTTGCTTCCACCTGTAGAGCCTGCCGAACATAGAGTATCGAATGAATCCAGAGCAGCCCCTCATCTGCCACTGATTCTACATAATATGTTGGGACATGGCTCTCCATCTGCTCTGCAGATAGTCTAGACACGATATATTGTTTTAGTCTAGACTACTGGTTAGTGTTTGTACTCCGGAGGCTCGGGAACAACCGCAGTCCGACGCAGAAAAGGTGGGTGCAGGTGAGGGATGGTCGTTAATTCACTGGCGCGACCCAAAATGGCTTAGTAAGTACTCTCAGATCATATGACTGTCGCATCACCCACAATAATAATTTCAAATCGCACCACCTCTTTCCATCTTCTTACCATCTATTAACACTACCACCACCACCACCACCACCGACCACCATGGCCGAACTCAAGGAAAACGTAAGTATAACTACTTTCTCAGTAGTTTATAACTACTTGATATAAGAGAAAAGTAGTTTTAAACTGATTTTATTGATGAAAATAGAACTACTACAAATGGTACTTGCGTACCGTGGCTGCTGGCCAGCTGGTGCTTCCCGCCCCTACCCAGGTCAGTATCACTTCAATGAAACCTTATTTACATACTTGCGAAGTAGTTAACAATTACTTGCCAACTACTTAGAATAATAACCTCGAGCATGAAGTCCATTACAGGGAGGTCTTCTGCAGGATGGAGGGATGCACAAAGAGGACCGTAAGTATATTTTCAACTACTTATTAATAACTTGCTAACTACTTACTAATAACTTGCCAACTACTTACTAACTACTAAAAAAAGAAGCAGTACTTGTCTACGAATAATCTGCACTCACATTTGCAAACTCATGAGGATTTTATTGCCAAGACTGGTAATAAGGGGGGACGGGCCTCACAAAAGCAGGTTAATAATACTGTTAGTAAGTAAATTACTTGCCAGTTATTTGTCAATTACTTACTAACTACTTAAAAGAATGGTACAAGCAACTATTTGATGACTTTACCGCAGAAAAACAACTTTCTACATCTACACCTACTCATACTCCGAGATCCAAGACCACTACTTCTGCCGGCTAAACCTTGGCGTCCAGTCCTCTTGGAAAATTAAATATTGATGGATCTTGTCCTCCTCTACCCCTCCGCCAGGATGGAAAGGTAAGTACTTAATAATTATTTATAAACTGCTTATTAACTAGTTAGCATTACTTACCAAGTACTTAGGCCCATTACATTACCGAAATGCGTGCTGAGATCAAGAATATGGGTTATTCTTTACCCTGCAGTATTTGCCCAACTGCAAAAAATTGCTGTAAAGATAAATGGATATGTGTATATTTTCTATAATTTGATTATAGTAATCTAGCACCTGAAGCTTCACAGTAAAAGAATAATACTGAGAATAATAAAAAACAGAATAAGCAGTCTGAGAAGGAGCAAGATGAATATAATAAGGAATCTGAGGAGGAATCTGAGAAAGAGGATGAGGAGGAGTCTGAGGAGGAGAATGAGGAAGAGGAAAGTGAAGTGTAAATTAATTAAGAAGCAGTTTGTAAGTGGTTGACAACTATTTTACAAGTGATTGACAACTACTTGTAAACTAGTCTACACTTGGATCCTGATTAGGCCGGACCTCCTGTTTTACATATGGATAATCAGTTAGCAAGTAATTAATAAGTACTTGAAAGAATAATCTACCAAGGCCGTAGTAAATATACTTTACAGAATATATATTCTGGCTCATATGTAAAGATATATATTAAAAATATTAAAGAAGAAGTCAAGTACTTAGTAAGTGGTTATAAAGTAGTTAGCAAGTACTTATATTAGCTAGATTAATCTAGATTTTAAAGCTGTCTGTATCACTCAATTAAATCCAGCTCCCGCGCCTCATTCTCAAGCTCCTGCTTTCGAACTTCCTCTTCCTGTTTTTTAATTTCTGCTTCTAATTTTCGTAATTCAAGTTCCTGGCGTCTCTGCTCTAAATTAAT